AGACATTACCAACCTTTCTATTTGGCCCAGATTTGGCCAGCATCATGTCCGTCTTCAGAGCCATCAGGGATTGGCTCTGCTGGATATGGTGAAAGCTTCTAGCACCTTCTCACAGAAGCCACCTCTGTGGCCCCCCTGCTACCAAAAACCAGGCCACGCAAATCCAATACATTGTGTGACAGTGCACAGAGGAAAATGTATACTCAGACTGCATGTCACTCAATGAACTGGACTAAGGTTTAGGCTGGGAAGTATTCCACACCTAAGAAATGTATCAGAGGTAGGAGCAAGCAAAATTCTGCACTATTTAACATGTTATTCTAACAAAATGAGGCATAAAAGTTTTAAGTTACAGCGAAAATTGACTAAATGTTACGACTGAAGAGATCGAAACTTTTTATTTCATTTCTGCTGAGAAACAAGTATGGATGGGTCCCATGTAAGAATACAAAAAAAATATTAAATCTGGATGTTCTTCAATTGGCATGAGAACAAATATATACTTGACAGGAACAAATTTACATACAGGTTTCAGCACATGCAGATACCATATATTGTAGTTATGCCACTACATGATCAATACCACCTTTAGGGATTTCTTCCTAACTGCCTTGTGACAGAACATACTGACACATGTTAAGCCACATTTCCTCATAAAAATCCTTAACAGACTTCTAAATGCTATTTCAAATACCTGGTAACAGGTACTTGTTATGGAATGAGACTGACGTGGTTAGAAGTTGAGTGCTCCAACAAGGAAAATTATTTAATCTAGCAGTTACTTTTAGGGGTGTTGTCTTTTTGTCACTTGGAACAAAACATCCTTTTACATGAGAATATGACTCCAAGTTTACTGTAGAACTAAGTTATACGAACGCATTTGAACTACTTTCATATGCAGGGAAAAATCTGTGTGCTTTGAAGCTTCCTGCTGAAATCTGAGGGCCTCCTCTCATCACTTGCATACCCTAGGTATAAACAATTACCATGTGCTTTAGTGGGAGTTTCACATTAGCTTGCAAACAGAAAGGCTTGAAACTAGTACTTCTATCAACATAGTTCTGTTTGTTTTTAAAGCTGGGTTATTCTATTAGAGTAAACACAAGCATACAGGTCTCCTGGGCCAACTCCATCCCACATTTTGATCCCACATCCATGGAGCATTTCATCCAAGTCAGTTTTTCTGTATCTTCTTTCATACTTGCCATCTGCTTTACAAACAAATCATGACTTGTATATAATACAGGCGGCAACAGGAAAAGAATCCAAAAGTCAGATTAAATTAGACTGGATACAAATAGTTATAGATATTTAAAACAAAATTTGAGGACAGTATGTAACAGAAAAGAAGTCATTGTTACATAAAAAGCTAGTTCTGCTTTTTAAACAACTCTTCAAATAACACTACCAAAGACATTAGAAGGTTTTTACAATTACAAAAATATATTTTAATGATTTTAAAGACTTAGTTTTTTATAAAAGGTCATGCAGAAATTTGAGGTGAATCCATTTGTAAACACTGTTTATCTTACTGTAAAGGCACCAGTGGTTAGCTGCAACCCGGAACACCTTCCATAAAACAATGCCAAAATTGTGTACCTAGAGAAGAAATCTTCGCAAGGCAAAGCATCACTTGTCTGTGGTCCACAGAATCATAGATCATAGAATGGTTTTGAGCTGGAGAAAAACTCTGAAGATCTTTACAAGGGCAGGAAGACCTTTCACTAGATCAGGTTGCTTAAAGCCCAATCCAACCTAGCCTTGAACACTTCCAGGGATGGGGCATCCATAGCTTCTCTGGACAACCTGTTCCAGTGCCTCACCACCCTATGACTCAAAGAATTTCCTCTTCTAAACTTACCCTCTTTCTGTTTAAAACAATTACTCTGCTACCCATCATCTGATCAATACGCTGCCTGATAAAGAGTCCTTTCTCCTCTTTGCTGCAAGCCTTCTTTAAGTACTGGAAGGCTGTGGTCTCCCTGGAGCCTTCACTCTATTAGGCCAAGCCATCCAGAGTCACTCAGCCTGTCTTCATAGGGGAGGTACTCCAACCCTCTGTCCACCTCCATGGAGTCAGCATGGCTTCTTTAAGGGGAAGTCATCACTGATCCACCTTCTGTGATGAAATGACTGCCTTAGCTCAAGGGAAACCAGTAGATACTGTCATCCTGGACTTCAGTATGGACTTTGACACTGTCTCAGATAACACCCTCATAGACAAGCTGTTGATGTAGCTAGATGGGCAGACTGTAAAGAGGATTGAAAACTGCCTGCATACCTGGGCACTGACACTGCTGATGAGCAGCGCAAGGTCTAATTGGAGGCCAGTAACTAGTGGTCTACCCCAGGGGTCCATACTGGGTCGAGTCCTTTATACCATGTTAATCGATTATCTGGATGGATGATTAGGCAGTGTATCCTCAGTAAGTTTGTTGACACAAAACTGAGGCTGTGGAAGCTGTGCAGCCTGGCAAAGAAAGCTCAGGGGGAGCTCATCAATGTGTATAAGTACAGGGAGACTGCCAGACTCTTTCCAGTAGGGCTCCTTAACAGGACAAGAAGTGATTTGCACAAACTGAAACTCAGGAGGTTACCTCTGAATATTAAGAAACACTGTAAGGGTGACTAAGAAGACACTGATTGACCAGGGAGACTGGAATTCTACCCCTAGTGAATTTAAGCTGTTTGGACAAATGGCTCTAGATGTCCCTCTTTAAGCAACAGAGTTGGACTAGATGATCTACTTAGGTCCCTTCCCTCAACCACCCTGTGACTCTGCAAATAATAAAACATTAAAACTGGTCCAAACATTTGTAAGTTGTGAGACACTAAATGTCTTCAAAGAAAGGGAATAGTTATGGTTTGATATCCCTTGTGACATGAGATGCAAATCCCTTTTCAGTTATTCAGCAAGATCCTTTAATTCTCTAAAAAGCTCCCCATTGCCCTCTTGGTAGTTTGCCAGATGTGCTAGGTCTCCTGCAAGCTTCCTGTTTTCAACTTTGGCTTTTAAAAACTTCTTCAGCTATATGCCCTTGTAATTTCCTTTGTCCACACCACCTGATACAGTTTACATTACTGTAACATTTATTCTAGGTATCAACATCAGAAGCAGATGAGAGGTTTACTCTGCCTATCTCATAAGCCAAGTGTTCTTGTTCCAAGAGTTTTCTAATACAAACATTTAAAAAATTACAAGGCAGCAGCTTCTGCCCCTTTTATAGTGTCTGACTGTATACTTAACAGTCTCTCCAAAGAAATTACATAACTGACAAAAAACAGCCTTTCAAACACAAAAGCACATAAAGGCCGAGTGCTGACTTGTTTAGCCTTGCCAAAAGAAGACTGAGGGACACAAGGGGGAGCAGATCTGCTATAAATATCTCAAGGAGAGAACAGTTATTCATACTAAGGGGACACTGGTGTAAGAACAACTGCATATAAACTAGTTGTAAAAATATCTAGGATGAGTCCTGAAAGCAGATTTTCTTCCATTGGAGCAGACTCCAGAGCAGCCTTAAAATGCACCTAACAGCAGCACACATACGCAGTGGCATCCAGGTTCAAGGACAAGAGTTTAACAGAAGAGACTGGACTCTTGACACAGAAGATCCTTTTACTATTGCATCCTTGTCATCTGTTCCACATTATAATTCATTCTAATAAAAGACCAACACTTTTAATGGATAAATGTGACTTTACAACCATGCATAAACCTCACAATCACCTGTACTGATGAATGACAAGTCAAGCACTCTGAATGAAAAATTCCTGCCAGTGTATGCCTCACTGCCCTGGGTTGCAAGATGTGGGTGGGGGTGTGTATTCTATTACCATCTGTTAGAGGTGTGGCAGTTATCTTCTGTTAATTGGGTAGGGATTTTTTATCTCTTCCACAACCAATCCTCCCTCCGGGGAAATATCTTCTCTTAATGGGCCGTTGAGTCTCACTGAAAAAATTACATCATCCTATCGTGAGATGCACTGCCCAGAGGGAGGAGCCAAGCACTCCTACCTGGATATAATCTGATATTTGGAACACCACAGGCAACCTTTTCCACTGGATTCCCAAAGGAGCAGCTTTCTTTTCCAACCCTAGATTCCAAGAGGAAGACCAGGTCCATCTATACCACCACTGGATCTTCAGAGGAAAACTACACCCTTCTACAGGATCACTGCTTCAACAGAACCATAGCTGTCACTGCAGGAGGACTGCAGTCACCATTCATTCAGGTTGCTACCAACACCCTGACCAACAGTATGCAGGTTGTATTCTGACTCTGTCAGTGTTGTTTTGTATTACTGCATTTTTTATTTTATTTTTATTTTCTTCCCTAATAAAGAACTGTTATTCCTGCTCCTATATCTTTGCCTGAGAGCCCCTTAATTTCAAAATTATAACAATTTGGAGGGCGGGGGTTTATGTTTTCCATTTCAGGGGAGGCTCCTGCCTTCTTCAGCAGACACCTGTCTTTTCAAACCAAGACACTCACAGAAAAGGCATAAGCGTGACATACCAGAGTTTATCAGTCTCAGAAACAACCCTGATAAAGCATGTATATAACTCAACCATGTATATAACTTCACTGTCTGGCTGATGCACTGATTTTTTGTCTGTTTCAGCCAAGGGTTAAATTGCTCAGCCCCCTCTGGAAAGTTTTCCAGCATAAGCACAATGTAGGCAAAATTAAGTGGTTACAACATCTCAGAGGATGGAATCATATTCTTCCTTCTTACACTGAAATAGGCAATGCAAACAATATAATTTTATACCATTATAACCACAAATTAACTAGAAAAATCATATGCTTCAACTGACTTGAACCACTAACACAAGCTCATCTGAAGTGCTTGAAGGAAATCTCAAACATTTCCTACAACTAAACCCCACCACCCACATTATTCTTAATTCATGAAAAAGGTTTTGCTTATTAGCTGATTACAAATGCCAGAAAGTAATTTTCATTCAGGAAAGACTGCCCTGTGACATTGTGTGGTGGAATTTCACATTTGTAATTTTATTATAATCTGAAAGAGGCAGTATCTGAAGAGCAGAGAAAATACAAAGAATTTATAGAACATTCATTGATAAACTGAAGAACTTTAGATGCTTCTTTACAGTTTCAAGGGGAAAAAAAGGAAAATTTTCACTAGTAGGAAAAACCAAAAAAGAAATATTAAATATTTAATGACAGTATTTGATACAGTGAAACCGTTAATTAAAACATGGCTTTTAGCATTTTTGTAGTTTAACACTGTATGATTATAATAGTGTATTTACGAACCACATTAACAGGAGTCTGGCTAAATGTATGTGTCAACTTGCTGCCATTAGTTATGAAATTGCATATACACATCTACCAAAAATCTTGAAAGAAAGTGCTATATAAAGATTAGTCTTATATTTGCCATGAACATATAAGTTCCATGAATTTTTTTCTACACAAACTACATAATGGTATATACTGAACTATCTTGCTTTGTCCATTTTAAAAGTCATTAAAAAGCAAATGCACATGGCAATATACCATCCAAAAGAATGCAAAATAGAAAATCTCCCTTAGAAACAGGGTAACTTCTTTTTTCCCACTTAGCAAGTAGAGCTAAACTCCCAGAAAATACCACCAGGAGTGTAAGCATGCAATCCCTCATGCTTTTGAATTCAGCAGACCTTGAGAAAGCACAAAGAATAAAAAATAAGGTCCTGAATGGAAATGAAAATACACGGGGAAGAAAAACCACTTTACTTTCAGCCCAAAGGCCAACACTTAGTGTCTAAGAAGACACACTAAAATTTATTATCTACATAAGTGAAAAATATAGTATAAAAAATCCTCCTCATTTCAATTCTTACAACACATCAGATTAAAATCTGAGACTGAAATCTACTTGAGATGTCAGCTGAAGAATTTCTGTGGGCTCCAACAGGGTGATGACATTAGGCAACTGGAATCTTTGTACACCAAAAGAATCTCAAAAGAAAACTTGTTCTCACATTTTATAAAAGGAGCAAGGCTCCTAGATGTAAGAACTGCATTTTTTTTGGATGGTACATAAACACTGTTTAAGTAGTATACCTCTGTTCCAAAAGAATAGAATTATATGTTTCTAATCAAAGGTACTTGTCCTTGTTGCTTCAATGGTAGCTATTGAATTCTGCACTTTGGATTGCTTCACCCTCCTATAGATATCCAATGCCTACTGCTACTAATAAACCACTTTCTGGTGCAAATACATTAAACTTCAAATATTTCTTCTCTCTCTTTCTTCCTCACCACCTTCCTCTTAAAAAACATAAAGTTATTTACACAAAATTGGTAGTTACACAAATAATTTGGTAAGACTTCAGCTATGGTCACTGAATAAAATTTAACACGGTCCTAATACTTCAGGAAATACAAAGAGAGCTGTTAAAAAACCCCCATATTTTATACAGGACAAATGTAATTAAACTTGGTGGATAAAAGGATTAAAATGTACAAGTGGATAAAGTGGTTCATCTATCAACATGCAAAATACAGAATGTTATTTTATTCCTCAGGTTATTAATATAATGTTGACAGCTACACATGAAAGAAATAGAAGCAATGAAATTTTTCAGCACTTGCCACACTAAAGTTGCATTATGAGTTCTCATACACAGGTCTAGTACTGCTCTTTTTGAGTGAATGGGAACTACACAGGAGATCTCAGTGGCTTACTCTCCTTGTGCAGGCTTCCACTGTAACCTACTGCATCAATTTCCTATAAAGCTAAATAGCACTCTCTTATGCATTTCAAATATCAATGTGTTAAGAAAGAGAATGAGATATTTACAAGTGTGATGGATGTAGAAATCATGACATAAATGCTCTCAAGAAATGAGATGAAATAACAAAATAAATTCCATTCACTTTCAGATTCCCTAACTCAAGGAATAACATATGAAATATAGTTCCTATATATGAAAAAAACAAAAGGTAAAATGATCCTCAGAACTCTAGCAAAATAATGGGGCAGAAGAATCCATAAATATAATTACTTATCATATAGGGGAATAAAACAGTACTGCAGAGGCAGAAAATGGGAAGTGTCTTGTCACTGTAAGACAAAAGACTAAATATCAGACTATTGTCTCTACCAAGGCACAGGCTACATACATATTTACTTGTACAAAATAGTGCTAAAGGTAAAGCTCAACAGTGGTCTAGTTAAGAATTATCTTTCTGACATATCAAGATCTGAAATCCACTATAAATAATCTGTCACTGGTAAAAATGCAAAAATTATACAATCTTCCTCTTTGCTTTTCCCTCATTTTTATCCTGCAATAACTAAAACGCTTAATCTTCCCTGCTTAGTTCTCTGTATTAAAAAAAAAATACAAAAAACCCCTAATTATAGAAAATATTTTCACACCTCTTTTTCTTCTGCCACTTCTGCTCTATTGACAAATTTTCAAACTAAAACAGCTCAGCCTTCTTAGCACTAAATACAGAGCAATCTTCCTGAATATTCAACACTGCCACTCCTTTCTTACCATAAAACAACTTGCACAAACGTTCTCTTCACATACATCTTCCCCTTTCTCCATTCAGTTCTCATCACTGATCACAAAGACATAGGGAAGAGCAAATAGTTTTCCTCAGATGATCATTCTCCTATGAGCATGTTTGCAAGGCCTATAACTACCATTGATGCAACCATAGCAAGTGCCTTTGTGGAGGTTTTACAAAACACTTCCTGAACAAAAAAGGAATTCAATCTACTAAGTATTTCTGCTCCAATAAACTATGAGAAACAGCATATGAAGATACATTAGAAACCCATCAGGAGAAAAGTTCTTCATTTACACTTTTCATTCAGGTAAGGGCTACGTGGTTTAGGGTGGCACCCAGCTTCTTTTGTTTTGTCGTCTGATATAAAAACAAAGAAATAATGCTTTGTGAGGCTTCTTGAAGTAAAAGCCTGAGCTCTCACAAACACAATACACAGATCATTCTCTGCTTTCCTTATTGGGAATGATAATATTCAGACATTGTTACTGAATAGCCTTTCTCCCTCTCACAGTGATTTCCTTCCGTGAAGTCAGTGAAGAGTTCTGAATCAAGGATAGAAAGGCATCATATCTTCTTCTGGGATCCAATCATGACCTTTGATACAAAGTTCACAATGGCACTGGCAGGTTGTTCTGGATCATGCTCTGCAAAAAGGTGGCATATGTTGTCTGTGGCACTGCCTTGCTTCCTGGCAACGAACCCAAACACTCTGCAAGGGCAGCAATCAAAGTATGTAAGAGAAATGACAGATAGGCATTGCCTCACTTCATAAAACAGAAAAGATACTTCAGAAACCAAGCACACATAGCAGACTTCTCTGTTCTGATGGATAAGCTTCCACGTGGCTGCTAAACACAGTGGTCCAGATAGACCAGCCAGCTCAGGAGATAATCAGGGAAGCAGACTGTCCCCTTCCTTCTGCTCTGTCCATATGGCATCCTGTAATGTTCGCTGTCAGAGACATGCTGCTAACCCTGGAGATATATTTAATCTGATTCGATACTGCTGTTCTCTAACCTAGTTTGGGGGGCATGTGGTGCATTGTGGTGTGTCAGGGATTGCCCAAAGAGAGGATTTTGAGGGTCACACATCTTAGTGGACAGAGTACTGGAAAAAGGATTTAAGCCATCTATTTCTCTTCCTTTCCAGAAACAAGTGCTGAGCCTCTCTGCTTAAGTTATTTCTTTTGATTAAAAAATGACAACAATGTTTGCCTTCAACAGAAAACACTTTGCAGTCCACAGGTAATCATGTATTTATACCATAAACTAATATTACTAGGAGTGTTTTCATCTGTGTACTAGGAGAGGCATTTTTTTAAAAGCTATGAGTCTAAATGAGAAAAGCTTGTGTTAAGTCTTGCTGGACAGGTGGAACACAAAACAGAGAGCAAATATCTCCAATGCCTGAAACCACAGACCTGCAGTCTAAATAAAGCAGACTTCTCACCCTCACCCAACACATAATTAGGCCCCAATTTGCAGAGGTGTAGATGAAGTGACTAATGTCTAATTACAGAGGGCTGAGATACTTTTGTCTCTGAACAGATGCTCTCCCTTCCACATCTCAGACAAAAGTAATTTAGAACACCAAGAAACTGATCACTTTAATGATGTTCCTAAAACATTCAGTTAAAAGAGAGTGTACTTACTTTGCAGAAAGGCCATCTTTCACCCACCTTGTCCATTAAGGAAGCAGTAGAAAAACACAGAATGAAGAAATAAAAATGTTAGTTTTAGTGTGTTTGTTAGGGTTTTTTGATAGGACAATACAAATAACATATTAAAAATACTGCTTGTCATACTTACTTTCTGTCCTGTGGATCCAAAGCACAGAAAATAACGGTGTTGACAGAATAATGTCGCCGAAAAAAGAGTCTGGATACGAAGAAAGAAAACAAATTTCAGAAACAGTGAAGATGCTTAGAATTCTAAACAATAAACTAATCTGAAAAACAAATTGTATTTAGTCTTAATTTAATACAGACAATATTTTTTGCTATCTTTGAGTGACTTTGAAATCCACCTGAACTACTCCAGCCCAATAAATACATGTTAAAAACACTAACACAAAGTTTTTTTAACTAAATGAAAACTGATTCTCAAGCTAAGAGCTAGGAGTATGAAATGTATTTTTTCTAAAAACTGCCATTTAGATACTATTTTAGTGGGACAGACAGCTTTGTGGAAATTGTGAATAATTTGATCATATTACATTTCAAAATATTCACACTCCTACTCATTACAGTTAAGGTACAGATTCTGTGATCTGCTACAAATGATTGCAAGCCCCATGGAATGAAGAAGTCTGGTAGTTTTTTTTTTAAACTTAGAATGAATTCCTGTTCTCCTTCCTTTGTTATTGTAATTTTTTTAATTGGAAGAGTTTGTGGTAGCCTAACTACCACTTAGAAAAAGTAAATATAAATTAACTTCTTATCACAGTTTTTTACAGTCTATCCAAAACACTGTTTCAGATCCTGGAGATACACATCATCTGCTTAAGTCAGGTCTGTTCAGTGGTACTGGTGAAAGAAATCATGAAGATAAATTATTTCACAGAATAGGTTCAATATCAAATGCTAGCAAAGCCATTACTTTCCTAAGAAATAACAATAAAAAATGTCATATCAAAGTGACCTTCCAAAGGTAAAATACGCCATGTGGAAATAAAGTCCACCACTTTAAAAAATATTTTCCTGTACTACAGCCATCTTACACAGCCACCACCATTCTTATAATCCTCGTATCCTCTGAGACAGAGATTGCAAAATGTAACTAGGAACGCCAAATCAACAGTGGCCAACACCTGACAGGGCCAGGGCCAGATATTCCCTTCCCATCCTTATTTGCTTACTTTCTTTGATTATCTGTCAATGTGATTCCCTGAGCAGACACCTTGAAATGGACAATGGTTGAGATAGGAGATGGATCTTGCATTAGTGTCAGGCTCAAAGCTTTTTGTACTGCCTGGTATCCTGTGAGGGACTCCATCTCTACTGAATTCAGGTACCAAACGTTACAAGCTGTAATGAAAGAGGGGAAAGATTTTGAGAGGTCATAGGCCTTTTACTCTCCCTTTGGTTTTAATACCTTTATATCAAAGCAAATTACTGTATTTATTATTGCCCATAGATATCCTGAAATTTAAATAAATACCAGACAACACCAGAGAGTACACTTGTAGGTCGTACTGGAGCAAAGGCATCCCTGAAAGAATGGGGATATTTTGCTTTTAAGTTCAAATACATCAGCCAGTAAGAAAATACACATTTGCAGTATACATTCACACATTCTACAGTTTCAAATATTTAAACTATATTCAAAGGGAACCATTCACTTGATTGGCAAGACAGGAATGTTTTCACATCAAAAAGAACTGAGCGTTATTTCAAAGCTCATTTCTCTTCAATTCTCATTAATAGTGTTACATATGTTTAATTATTTCAGAGCAAGTAAAACAATTTCCATACTGATAAAAATTACTGACATACCTTTTTAGGCCTTTTCTTTATTTCAGCATGCACTTACTTCTAGAAGTACTATTCCTCTTCTAGAGATACTAGCAACTTCTGAAATATCTCTATAAAAAAGATGCTCACTGGTTTCTAAGGTTACCAAACAGTTACTTTTTTTACATGATTTTGAATCAAACCTGAAGTGAGCACTAGGAAAGTATGTATTAATATTATATAGCATTATACAGTAGTACTATACTACTCTATAATACCACATAGTACAGTGGCATCTGAAGTATGGACTATTATATGGTATTAACAGAATTATTCACATGCTTACTATGGAACTGTGGTAAAAAGTCAAACTTAAAAACAAATTAAGAACAAGCAAGAATGATTATGCACATCCATAGCTAAACACTAGCACCAAGAGATTCTGTGTTTGGTAAAAACACTTGTGTAAGTATCCAGGAAAAAATGTACAACTCTATCAGTTGACACACACAAATTACCACGGTAACATTTAACTTGTTTAGCAGTTTCATTTGGCTTGCCAACATTACTATGAAAGCAAAGATTAAATTAAATCTAATAGTTTATGTTTTTATTTAGCTCTTCTGTAATCTGTCTTAAGATTTCTCCTATGACTATCTACATAAAATTATAGAGCTTGACACTGGCACTTTCAAAACAACGAAGTAATCTTACAGTTAAAAAGTGCATAAGCCTAAGTTTGACTCCAGCATAATGATCAGCCCAGTAACTTCAAGCTCTGGAGTCCATCAGTGAAAGAAGGGATCCTGAAATTTCATGTATTTGATTTGCAAGTGCAAAATTTCAAAAATATATTTTTGCACTGCTGCGAAAATTTCAGTAACTTTTGTTTGAATCAGTTAAATTCATGCAGAGAGGACATGAGATGATGAGCAGCAACCCAAAACTGCAACGAACATTCCAAACCATAAGGTCTCTTCTTCTCCCCTCATTACTGTATATGGTTGCTACAGATCTAAAGCTCTTCGCTATCTTGTGGGTCTTTCCCAAGAACAGGAAGTTTTCCTTTTTTCACAGCCACACACATCAGAGTCCTGTCCTCTTCTGCCACACAGTGCATTGTTGTCAACAGACTGTTTTCTGGTTATGTTTCCAAATGAAATTTCCAAGCATTTTATCTAGATTGCCCTCAAAGTGATAGTTCAAACAGAAGTTACCCAATACAGGTAGCCTTTGCTTCTGTAGAAAATAATAAATGGATTACAAAAGTGTTGCAAAGTGAAAACATGTCAGCTTAAAAAGGAGAGGAAAGGAAATGAGAAACCCAGAAAGACTTCTCGTTAAAGAACATCATGCATGGCCTGACAAGGTATCTAGAACAGTAATCCTAGAGAAACTATGCTCCAAGCCACAACAAAAGGAAGACCTTTTGTTCAGTGCAGCTGCCCTGCAATGTTGCTGCTTTTGTCTTTCACAGGTGACATTTTGGAGCACATCTGTGCCATCAGCAACAGCTTAATAATGCTGCTTTTAGACAGGGAATGTCCTTTGCCCAGAATGCTTAGTTTCTCGACTGTATCAGTGTAAAGAGAATTAAGAACTGCAATTTATTTGAGCAGAAAATTTGTTTGCTGAACAGGAAGATTAATAAAGCAAGGTATAGTCTAGGGAAAAGCCTCTTATCTGTATGATTTCTAGTCTTCAGTTGTGAGCGTCTAAGAAGCAAAGGATTTCTAGTCAGCTTCAGCACTTAGAACCTGGAAATGCTCATTAGGTTTTTCAGGGAGCTATAAAGAATAATCATTCTAGGAAAACACATTATTTTTTTGCTTGTGGAGTGAGAGAAGTGTGGGTATAGAAAGACAGGGAGAAAGTGTATCTGCTTTAAACTTTCTTTGAAAGGATTCAATTTACATGTTTTGAATTTGCACTTCAGTGTTGAACTCCACAACTTGAATGCTTCTGTGACTGGAAAGGGACCCCTGATGTAGCAAGGCAAAAAAAACCCAACAACCCTCTGAGAACCTCTCATAGCTAATTTATCTATTTGGGTTCCAAATCCTTGTTTAAAAACATCAAAACAGGTTAAAACCAAATGTACTAAGTACCCTAAATGATCCATGATACAAAAGCTCCCATAAAGACTTATCTAACTACTGCCCCAGCTGAAGAAATCATTCTTTCTTTTTCTTTGAAAAGCATTGTCTGAGCAAGGAGAAACCAATATTTTTTGGAAGACAATATATGCCACTTTTGATAGCTTTTCTAAGAAGTAGCACTCTACAAAAATTGTTTCTCTGTTTTTTTTTTTCCTGTTGGCCACAACAAACACCAACCAGCAAGTTAATACGTGCTCACTCGCAGCACAGCCTCACAAAGGTTTGCCATTTCCTCAGCTACACATGCCTGCCCATTTCCTCAGCTACACATGCCTGCTCAATTACAGCACTCGAAGTGGTGCTCCAAATTTTGAAGTCAAAGCAGATTGCTGCCTCTCTCCAGAGCTGGCCAGTTTGACAACTGCCCCTTCAGGAGTGCTCTAAAAATGCGTGAGGGCAATGAGACAGCATCCTTAGAAACGCATGCTTTTCCACAACACTCACTTGTGGATCCAGTGGTTGTCTAAACTCAAAAGAAAGGGGCAAATGTAGTGTATTCCTGTGCTATAATCGCACTAATTGGGTGGCTTGTGGCAAGAATGCACAGCAACCTGAAAACCAAGGACCACTGCAGGACATGGGCAGAATCCCCCAGACATGCCCACTGTACAGTAGAGTAACACAGTTGGTCACATTTCTAAGGACAACTTTAAGATTATGCAGGAGTACTTAGAGCATTGTCCAATACGTGAGTTAGAATGTCACCACACTTTTTCAGACAGGCTGTTTAACTAGTTCTCTGGATCAGCTGCACATTAACAAAGCAGATAAGAAGCAGACCACACCTCTACGCATCTCTTGCAAACACCCCAGTTTGAGAGCCATACAGATGGTAACAGTGCATAGCATCACATAATTTGAACATACTCTGGTCATGGTTCTTCTGACACATCAAATAATCTTGCGGTAACACAACTCAGTTTGCCAGAATGGGTGCTGCACTATGCATAAGAATCCATAAAAGCATCCAGTGGAAAAGACACATGAGATTTCCTAAGAACATACAGCACCACGTGAAGTAAAGAGAACTGATCTTTAATATTTTTTTCACATTGATGCAACAGTAAGCATTTTGCAGTGGAATTGTTAACCCCATGATAAGAACTTAACCCTAACTGAACATCTTCCTTAGTTGGCTTTTGCAGACCTCACACATAGTTCTTGAACCTCTGCAACCACAGGTTGAAAATATCCTCTCAAAGTTTATCAGTTATGAAAGCACTGTCCTGCTTAAAAATTGCCGTGCTTGAAGTAACCTCACAAGACAAATGATGGGAAACTAAACACAGAACATAGGAGCTGGTTGCAGAAAACGGAAAAAACTTGCTACATATCCTCACTATACACTTCTACCCAGCCCAATAAATTTAACTGCTACCTTTACATATCCCTTAATCCAGTCTAAGCTTCAGCTTCTCCCAACCTGTAAAATACAAACTTTGGTAACTGTCAAATACAAGGATAAAAGTTTAACAGACCTGCACCCTGTTTGAGAAGCTCTGCAGCTGAGTTTGCAGCAGTTTGTGGAGAAGTTTCTGCTATCTCCTCCAAGGGATCTGCAAACAGAAAACACTGTCCATGTCTTGTATGGACTTAAATCAACAAATCGAAGTCCACAGTCATGTATGAGCTGTTACACTTATAACTGTGATCTCATCTACTGGACAACTCTTGGCCAGAAACATGAAACCATGTTTTATCTGCAGTTATAATCATCTATGTAGGTTTTGTGCTGCATCAAGTTTTTTTTGCCTTGAGCACTGCAAGCAGGATGCTTAACTTTTATTTCCTGAAAATAAAAGACATAACAGAGGCATATGCTGTAGGGACTCATATGATTACACAGTAAGACAATACAGATAGCTGTATTCCCTCACTACAGCCAAAAATATCTTGACTAGTGTGATTTTAATTATATCATTTGATTTGTATAATTTACAGTCATTTACACAAAAAGACTTTGTGTTACCATGATGAAATCAATTACATTTTGATTCAGAGGATGACAACAAAACATTCTTCTTAAGTTGAAAAAAATATCTGAACCTTAAGACAGCAGTGAAACGTTTCTTCCCAGTTGATTGTTAAAAGTAGTAAGAAACTGTCCACCAACATGTTATTTCAGGTATATAAATGCATGTAAAAAGATCTCACTTACTGCTGCATTTAGCATGAGGCATGCCATCTTTGAATATATTCAAATGAGGAAGAGAGCCATAATACAGTTTGTGACACAATTTATATGGTTAGTTACAGTTATCCAAACATTTTAAATACTCCAGGCACTGTATCCTGTCATTAACTACAGAAGATCATCTTAAAATGCATAATCAAATTGGATTAAAAAATAAAATCAAAATAAAATTTCACTCTGGTATGCTTATTAAAGACAAGGCAAATGTTCCAGACCTGTACCTCTGGAAGAACAGAGTAATTTTTCCATGTTAGGTGAGGGGGATAAAGAGAACAAGCCAACCTCCACACTGTTTCGCTACATAAATGCATGAGATCTCTTGTCACATCTTCCACAGCATATTTTTGTGCTAAAATGGTTTCATTGATGTATTTGAATAAATCAAATGCTATTTTTGTATATTAACATATGGTCTACAACAAAAGTTTAAAGTATTCAAAAAACTCTTTAAAGTCACAAACCACAAGAACATTTAATATTTCAATAATGTGTCTGGGGTTAACTTCATGGGGAAGAATATAAAACGAATGAATTACTTGACAAGCATGAGCATTTTATTTTTGTCTTAATAGTGGTTTATGAAATCAGTATAAGCAAAATTAGAATCATAATCCCATGAAGCAACATAGACTTTTTGATCATTTACTTGAACAATATTTGAACCTGTGCAAATTGCTACACTCTTCCTGCCAGTGTTGCACTCAGGACACCATCTACGCTTTATCTACTTGTCCTTTTGCTATCCAGACCTGAATGAGTGGTTAAATCTAACCATACACTGGCATAGTGTCATGTCTAAGAAGTACATTTGTCTTTCCACATGGTAAATTACTGCATGGATTTCCATGATGAATATATGCTTATGACTGGAATACCACACTACCAGTATGCTCACAACCACACTTCAGATAAGGGTTATCACTGAAGACAACATCTCAGCTTCCTCCTTGGTGAGTTTTTGCTTAGATCTTAACTTTCACCTGCCTTCAGACATTGACAGTTTGAAGCAAAACTTGGCTGGGAATATCTCTTCTGTATTTCAACAAGCATACCTCTGTCTGGGATGAGCAACTTGCAGGGTAATGCCAGCGGAGTGATGGAATGCTGATACACTAGAGCTGTCAAACTCCCTGTGGTCAGAAAAGTAACAAGACATGCACAATTAACTTGGTAGACAACAAGAATGCTTAAGTTATGTTTACTCTCAAGTATTTTATAGACTAAGGGCCCTGACTGCTTCACTTTAAAAATATCTTGGGACCTAAGCCAAGATCTTCTTGAACTCAGTAATCACAATTGTATGTTCTTCTTCCCTCTTATATACACTGCTTATACTTATACTCTTATATACACTGCTTAGATCCTAACCTAAATGTCTGTGCTTCAAATGAAGAAAGCACAAAAATGACAAAGTCAGTAACATATACAAGTCAGTAAATTCTTTTCAATGCTCTTAGCTTCTGCTACATTAAATGTAGTAAATTCTTATGAAGGTGGCAAGAGCACAAGAGGTTGCTTGTGCTACACGATGAGGTAAAAAAAAGCAAGTTCTACTTCTTAGCCACCTAGTCTTCATCATCTAGTATTCTGTCTACACACACCTCTATTCTGTAATTCTGAAAGTATAAAAGACAGTCCAGGTAAAACCTCTTCCATTTAAGGCAGCAGTGATGTACATAGAATTCTCTATTAAATGATTCTTCTTTTCTATTCAAAGTCACTCTTGCAATTTAGTCTTGGCTTAACTGAAGTAATTTAATATTAGTTATCTTTGATATTAGCATGTCAGACTACAAGGTGTGAGAGGAAGGCATAGTATTCATCAGCCTGTTTGTACAAAAAGCCATCCTTCAATCCCATTTACTAACAAGCAGCAAACATTATAACCATATGCTGGAGAAAAATCCCAGTTCAACCAAAACCAACCGCATCTTTACAGTCCATCAAGAATTTCTTTGAAACAGAAAGATGACCCAATTCCACAAAAGTCTTACAGAAATGCAAAGACTGATCTATACTATTAGTCCTTCATGACCTCACCCATAAACATGTGTAACAGTGCCTGTTGACCTACTTGTGAACCAGTTTTGAGCCTGTGTCCTGGGTTACAACATGGGGTGTAACCAAGCTAGGCATTCTACTCCCATCTACATAACTGTTGATGAAGTGTTAATAGTGGGTCGTTTTTAACAGCTGCCCAGCGTGTGCCCAACCCTTCAGACTGGTGTTAGATAAGGAAGAAGAGGCAAAGCCTGCAAGGCACAATGGCCTTCACAATTAACTCAGACATGGTAACTACAACCTGTCCTGAGGGGGTCATCTCTACTCAGGGGCCATTGTGGACTCAATGGTCCTAGCAAGAATGGACTCAAGAGTATTACACCATTCCATTGTGAAACTCCCCACTCAGAGGGAGGTACCACCTGAACTTGACTGTTCATCATCTGTGGTTTTGGGGACTTGGGGTACCACCACCATTGCTAAACAGACCCAGAGGAGGACCAGACCTTTCACAGGACAATGGCTTTCAACAAGACTGCAACCATCACTTCAACAGGACTGCAACCACTGCTTCATCAGACTGAGACCATCACCCTGACCAACAGGGTAAGAGATTGTACTCCGACTTAGTGAGTTTTAGCCAGTTTTTCTGTATCACTGCATTTACAGTAATATTTTTTATTAAATTGTAACTCTGACCTGCTATCAAGGTATTTGTGTGGCGTTCATCTTTCACTGTGGTTTATTTTTAAACCAGCACAGGCTGCACAAACTATAAGACTAGGAGAGGTTCAAACTAAATGACTAGTAGGCCTACATAGGTGCCTAAATAGGTACTTCAAGATTGAGGTAGGAATGGACTAAAAGTTTTCATTTAAGGTAAGTCTCATGCCAAATACTGATAAACTTCAATCCACCTTTATTTTAAGTACGACTTTAATTTTACATCTGTTAATTTTATGGTAGATGACCCTTTCACAGGTGTATCTGATGTATGTGACAAGGCGGGTAACGGGGTGAGAGGGTTGCAGGATGACTTCTGGGTTAAGTTCAGGGGAGCTTTTCATGCCAAACACAACCCATTCCAGCAGACCCACTGCAGGACACCTATGGAAAAAAAGGCTGGGTGAGACACCAGCAGAGAGAATGCTATGGACAGAGGAGGAGGAGAAGGAGATTCTCTGGGTATCCAAGTTGCCATCCCCCACCCTGTAGCCTCTGGAGGACCTCACACTGGAACAGATGGGACATTTTCTGTGGTCAACAGAGAGCACACGCTCAAACAGATTTTTTTTTTTCCTGCAGGATGGAAGCCTATAAGGAAAGCCCACATCCCAGGAAGGAAAAACTGGGACAGAGATGAAACAGCAGAGGAACTGCTCTGTGATGATCATAGGCCCTCACACCCACTGCAGCGGGCATGAGTCTGGGAGGAAGCAGTGAAATTGAGCTTGGAAAAGGGGAAGGAAAAGTGTTATTTAATATTTGTCTTTGTTTCTCATGTTAAGGAAACTTCTCTGTCTGACCATCCAGGAGCCATTCTGGCAGCCACTCTTGCACCACCTGAGCTGGTACTCAAAGCCCCTTCACAGATACACACCCCACACTTACAGTCAAATGTTTCCTCAGAAACTCAATGCCAGGTTTTCCTTAGCAGAGTCTCAGACTTCCAGGTCATTAAAACAATTTAATTTTGGTGCAACAACTTAATAACAAAGAAACAGCTCAAACTGGGTGCCTCCGAGGAGAGATACCCTTACAATCAAAAGGCATGAAAGTCTGGGGGTTGGCTGCTGCTGCTGCACATCTTGAGTGCCTGGTCACCTGGCCACACAGGTCCCTGGGCCCTTTGTTATGCAAAGAATCAGCCTCTTGCCTGGGACACTCATAGATCAATCTGCAGTTTGCACTTCCAGCTTGCAAAGACAGTTACCTTCACTAAACACATCCCCCAACATCTGACTGCCTGAATATTGATTTTAATTGAAAAAAACATTAAAATAATTTTCCCCAAGTTGAGCTTCCTTTGCCCTGTAACTGGTTAGCATCTCCCTGTTTTCATCTCATCCTATTTTCCCCTTCTACCCCAAATGAGTGGAAAGCAAATGAGGTAGGTAGGTCTTTGGCTGTTTGTCATTACGGGTATTGTACTTCCATCATATTATATTAAATAATGTACTGACATAACAGAATATATTTTGTGAGTATCTCACTCTGGTGTCATTTTTAGCCACCTAATAGGCAGCATAAATATAACACAGGACAAAAGGTCTTGAATCAATTAGGATTACAAGAGTGATTTATCTTAGGATGATAAGAATGATTTAAGTGTAGCTGCTCAGCTTTCTGCAGCTACATTGGTAGTGGTAGACAAGCTTGACTGTTTGAAGCTTGGTCACTTGTATCTATGCTAGAGTGCCCTGCACATCTTAAGGTAAATGTGTAAAAGGCTCCTGGAATCTTGGAATGGGTTCCTACAGAAGTAATGAAGACTCAGACAAAGTAGTCTCTCATTGTATTCCATCCAAGTCAGCACAGGCAAATGCCTACTGTTTCCATCTTCTGAGTCCCTGTGATGCAAAGTACTTACCAAAATATGGTTCATTTGGGCATCCTTTCAAGCGTACCCCCTTCTGAGTACATTCAATCAGAAAATGCCTTACAAGTTCATTTGATGGATCTCCAACTGTGTTAAAAAAAAAGCTCATAAAAAGAAGCAATTAACAGACAACTCTCACAAACTAGGTCTTTATGAAGCAGTTTTTCCACATTACTTCCAAATGTCTTATATACAAAATGCAAATAATACAATTAGACCTACTCTGCAAGTTACAAGACATATTTAAAAGGTCATTTTTCAAAAAACAAACAAGCAAACAGCTCACTTTAGACAGCCAGAGGAAATGGTTTTATATTCTTAAGTGACTGGCATCCAAATATACACTGGTGTTCAAAAATGTCCAAATATGGTCCCAGCTACAGATAGGAACAGAAATTTGGTAATGGTTAATAAATAATGGTTAGAAATTTTGATGCACTTGCCCATTAAAAGAAGTTGTAGCCAAAGTGACAAGAAAGAAAAGTACAAAAAAATATGCCCATTTCCAGTGACATTTCTGTTCACAGAAGTTCCCCAAATTAAAAGAAGAGTAGATTAAGCTACACAAAGGTAATGATGGCAATTCCCTCCGTGCATTTTTATGTTTCCAAATGTCTGCAGTTTTATGCTATGTCTCTGCTCCTGAAAACAAACACTTACATAAATCACTAAGGTTTCACTAGATTTCTAAGACAGTTTTAATCTCAGGAATCTAAGACAAACCAAAACTGTAGAGTTGGATGAAATGAGGAGATTCAAAGTCCGAGAGACACGTAAAGATTCTCTCGAGATTTAACATTTTTTTAAACATGTATATATATATGTAGACATATAATTAAAGCAAATATTTATTGGAAGATGGATTCACAGTATTTCATACCTGACTACAAAACTAATCCTTCTCCAAATAGTCAAAAGTTTATTTCATACCAACAGGACAAAGCTATCAAACCATTCAAACCTTAACGAAAGAGCTGCAAACAGGTGTTCCCTCTGATTTATCAGGAAACCTCAAGGATTGACTTTCAGGCCAATACAGATGAACCATTAATATGCACAGCAGAAACTTCTACGCAAGCAAATATTGCACTGATCGCTTTTTCAAACAGCTTACTCTTTGCTGTTATACTCTCATCAAATTAAAAATAAATTACTACAAGGTATGTCGGGAGGGGAAGCCTGGAACAAGAAACACTACAGGAAACAGAACCAATCTGTGCCTTCTGGGATTAAACACGGGAAACCAAAAAAGCTAAGTATCATGAAGCGAGAAGTGGAAGAATGCTAGTCTTACTACTACTAACATAAACTCTCTTAAAGCCTGGGAAAGTGTGTGCTTTCACGTCTTCCTGGACTTCACCAATAAGAAAGACTACTAGAAACACGTTACAAGCCACTTTCAATTTGCCTCCTAGTTGTTGCTATCACCACCCCAGTGCACCTATACTGAGTTCATTACATAAGTCATTGGAGCGGCTCTGCTGATATTTATTGGCAACAAAAAGGACTACATGGCAAGTTGTTATTAAACATTGTTTCAAGACACCAGATTAAAACAGATTCAAAGCGTTACTGTAATAGAGGTGAAGAACTAACATTGCAGCAGAGTAAACAAATCAAAACCAACAGCCAAACAAAAAAACAAACCAAAACAGCCAAATTCATACTTCCATAAAAACAGCACTAAGAATAAATGCTTTCCTGTAATCTTAATTGCCTACCTCACCAGTCATTATGTATTAATGAAACATAATAAGCTTTGTAAAAGAAAAACAGCAGCAACAAAAACCACTCCACTAACCTTGCAGTAGTACAAATGGAACCAAGAACACTACAGATATTGGCTGCTGAGTTTCTATATACCAATTAATGATTTCTGCATGTTCTTCTCACTTCACGTTTCACAACCATTAGGCACAAGTCATATATGGAGGTACTAGAGCTGACAGAGTAGATATATAAATCACCACTTTTAAACAATTATCCTTAGGAATATCTTCATATTTATATCTAAAATAGAACTGTCTTAAGCCAAAACTTTGGCATCAAAAATATTCAGCCCTCCAGCTGAGTGAAAACTTTACACTGTAGCCTGTGAATCAAATGCAAACTTCTGATTGCTAGGGAAGACCAATTGCTGAGATGACACTAATTTTCATTAGGTTGATGACGTACAACACATGCACAGCCACAACAGAAGTCGTGGTGAAACCATATAGTAGAACAGGCATCGTATCCAGTCTCATTTAAAAACATATCAAAAGTAACCTGTAATTCAAATTGCACTTATGAGAAGAGGGGAAGATTCCAACAGATTGCCACCCACCAATAAGGACTACCTACTCTGTATAGCTTTTTTAATAACATAGAGAAGTACCTTTCTTTAACTGTAGCACAGAAGGAGGTGGTGTGGCAACTTTCATTGCTAGCCCATAGGCTCCCCGGAAAGAATGACTGTCTCGTACAATGAAAGACCCAGGTTCCTTTTCCTTTAGAATAGCAATGGCTGCAAGGGATTCCAGAAAAGAGACAGAAAAACAGTTTAAGCACAATGCACACGCTCAAAAAGTACAGAAGTACAAATTTAATGAATAGGAAGCCAGAAGAAGTAAGATCTCTCTCTCTCTCATTGCCGTACAACAAAGCACAATCAAGCATATTTGGGGGACCTGAACAGAAACACCTTGTCCAAATCGTTTCCAATTGTCCAAATCACACAGATACTTATTTTAAAAGAAGCCTGAAGTACAGAACACTGATTTTTACTGGTTTTTAAACTAAGAGGAGTGCTCAGGTCCCACCATAATTCCTACAACCAGTGCAAGAGCAAGCCTACTTCTGCTTAGATTTTGTCAATTTGTTAAAATACTGCATAGCTCTCTGTAATTCCCACACTGACTAGACAGCACTGTTTTTCACTTCCTATTCAGCCTCAACATGCAAGACAGATTCATTTTTATCCACCACCAAGTTTTTGTCCCTGCAAAGCTACCTCACTGCCTTAGGAGTTTTAAAGCAAATGAAAATGTAACTGTATATTTTGCTTTTTTAATTATTTTTCATCTGTATTTTGGGATCTCTTCTAAAAGTGCAGTATGAAGTCCTCTCCAAGAGGGAACACTTGCAGGGTAATTGCTGCTACTTTGCACAAGTCAGTAGCAGACTTTGAAATCTAGTAGCCCAAAATTTTAAAATTACTTTGAAAACAGACAAAAAGTTAATCTAATGATTGATCTTAATAAAACCTTTGTACTTTGCTTTCTTTCCTCCCCCATACAAGCTTTAGAAATACTTGTGTATACCAGTATACTTTGTTTCTGGAATTTCCAACCATCAGCAAGCCTTCAGAGAACCCTAGAAAGAGCCCAATTTGACAAATTTGATGCTGGACTGCTTAATTGACTGTCCATACAGAACATGGATATTATGCATATGGGGCACAAAGGCATATTTTGCAAGGCCTGAGCAATGTTTACAAAGCAAAGGTTCTTTTCATGAAAAAAGGGGAACTAAAAAAAATATAGAAAAATGCAGACAATTATCTCTTCTGTTCTGTCAAAGCAAGTAAAGCATACATATATGCATTCTATTCTCTTCATCTGTCAGAAGGCAAAGAAAAGAACCTTTTTTCACAACAATATGTCTTGTTTTGAGAGGATAAGGATGAATACACAAACACCTGCAATTAAGCAGTACATAACACTTCTAAATACAAAGGGACACAGTAATAATTTGTCACAGGAGCAGTGTATTAAACACAGGGGAAAAAAGATCGAAGAAGATCAGCCAGAGTTCCTTAAAACATTTTTTAAAAGAAGCTTTATCTCAAGGATGAAAAGAGGCATACTAAAAGGTTGGGAAGACTGTTGTTTCATTTGTTCAAGCAGTTAGGCTTTAAATTGCTTTGTATCTACTTCCCTCACTGGACACACATCACGTAGGGTATTTTTCTGCATATTTAAAGACTCAGTTTTCATTATGGGTGGTGAGTAGATAATGTGAAGGGGGCTGGAGTGAAAGGACCAGCAAAGTATCATCCAAAAATGAATTAATGACCTTTATTCCCCTGGCATCATATTTACCACTACAAAAGAACATCCTCTCCATCTGAGAATCTAATAACTAGACAACAGCAATTCATCATTTGCCAATAGCTGAAGTTCACACTATTTTGGTTTAGTGTGAATATCCTTCCTTCTCAATGTGGAACTAGTTAGTAATTTTTCCTTTTTGACAACCACATTTTAAAAAATCCCAGCTTAAATTCCTGCCTTATCTCATTAATCACAATTCACTATAGCTGACTATTACAGTATAAACACAAGCACAGTCAGACCAATTGCATTTGGAAAGCACTGTCAGAGACTGAAATGTTATAGTTTTACAATGGACTTTTTCCCCTTATGGCAAAAGTGTGTAACGAAGCTGCAGCAACGAAGCTGCACCACCAAAGCCCACCCCACCCTGAACGGACCTCCTGACTGAAATCCTGAACTGTGAGTTAAGCTACCTAAAAGAGCTTGACATAAGACAGAAGGGACACTGTTTTTCAATGATCTCAGGTTTGAGAAGAAATAGATAAGGCTGGGGGAGAAGGATGCATTCACAGGAGGGCCAAGCTCAGCAGCTGTCCTGAAAATCATCCCCAATTGGCTTCAGGGTGGAGGCCATAGCCCACAGGCTCATCTGCAGCCAGGTTTACACAGACTCCTCCCCAACCAAGGGAGGAGGAGGACAGTTTTGGGTATATGTCATGACCTCTGGTCAGAGGCAGTGAACATTCACCTCCATTACACAAACTGGCTCAGCTGTAAAACCCCCCACTCTGGGAAAGCCACATCCACAGGATGCTCAGGTGAGGGGCAGCTGAGGAAGTGTCATAATCCAACAAAGACCCCTAAAGCACTCCCCAGACTCATTCCTGAGGCCCTGCACCACAGCAGTATACATGATGCAAAGCGATGCAACCAATTCAGAATATTGCAAGAGAGAGTATCAAACTTGTGCCCCTTCAGGGGAGGTACTTGGGCCCAACTTGTATTAATCTTGGGACCCACAGAGGGGTGATATTCTACATAATTTGTTCCTGTCACTCTTCTTGTCCCCCCACAACCTCTTTTTCTATTTCTTTCTCTTTCTCTCTCATTTACTGTTAAATAAAATATATCAATTTTTGGTATCAACATTTAACCTTGTTTGGTTTTAGTCTCGTTTCACAGAATATTCAAACCTGAAGTTTCTATCCGGAATCCACAGAGAGCTCACTTTGCTCCTCTATGATTAGTGGATTGTAACAAGCACCCAGCATGCTTATATACGTACTGTTGTAGGGATAGTGTGTGAGTTCATAGAATCATGGAAGAATGGCCTGGATTGGAATGAACCTTTAAGATCATCTACTTCCAATGTTCCTGCCATGAACAGAGACAAGTTTCATTACACCAGAGCCATATCCAGCCTGGTCTTGAACATTTCCATGGATGGAGGGCATCTCACAGCTGCTCTGGGCAGTGTCTTCCAGTGCCTCACCACTCTCACAGTAAAGATTTTTTTTCTAATATTTAATCTAAACCTACTTTCAGTTTGAAACCATTTCACCTTGCCCTGTCACCATTACATGTTCTTCTAAAAAGTCCCTCTTCATCTTTCTAGTAGGCTCCCCTCAGGTACTGCTAGGCTGCAATTAGGTCACTCCGAAGCTTTTCCTTCTCCTTTCAGACTGAAAAATCTCAATTCTCTCAGCCTCTCCTCAGAGGAAACGTGCTCCATCCCTCTAACCAACTTTGTGGCCCTCCTCTGTACTCGCTCCAACAGGTCTGTCTATGTCTTTCCTGTATGCCAGATGCAGTACCCTAGGTGCTCATAAATATTCATTTTCACATAGATAATAAAAGTTTTCTATAGTTCACTGAATAATACATCTACATATAAAAGTATTGTATCTGCATCATACATCATAAAGATGTTATTCCATGGTAGTGACCTTTAAGAAACAATGTATGTCACTTGACATTGAAATTCAGGCTACAATATGACTGGTGGGTGAGGATGCCTCTGTTGTGACCTAGCTAATGAATTATTCTGAGATCATGTCAGAACAGCACACTTATACTCAAAAAGCTTCAGAGAACAGACAGCCATTTGGTGTTGTTTCATGCATATCTGCCATTTGAAAATCTGCAGCTTCACACCAAAGAGCATTTGCAGCAGCTACCACAGGCAGATCTATATTACTTCATATATTTTAATAATTTGTTTGATTAACTGAATATTTTTCAGGACTATTTGCCTGCCCTCCACACTCAAATTCAGCCTTTCAATAAAAGAAACAAGAGGAGTTGTCTGTGGCCCTTCTAGGTTTTATATTTCTTTTAGAGATCAGGGATGTATCTAAAATCGAGACTTCACCAACTAGCTTTTCTATGAACAGATATGTCAGAATATTTATCAATTGATATACCTTGTTCTCTTGAAATATCTGGCTTATACCAGAACTTGGATGTGTCCTGAACAAATTTTACCGTCACATGTTTATCAGCTGTGTTTTCTGTGAAATAAAAGGGAAAAAGAAGTTTTTTTTTAAAACAAGTTAAAACATTTTTTTTAAAACAAGTGTTTTTACTTTTCTTTCCAATTTCCAATCACCATGATTACTCAAAAAACTCATCAGTTTAGAGAAACTGAGCTGTTTTAGAACCAGCAAATATAATGACATACACTAAGATTCTGAAAGCATCTTCGATGTTTCATTTTGCAAAATCCATAAAATATTAAAACCTTTTAGTTATAAAGCTGCATTAAATACAAACTTCTCAACAGGGCCTCAGTGAACACACATGTACATCTTTTACTTTTCTTGGCACAACTCTAAAAGGACAGAAAGAAGCCAGCCCTTTTTAAAAGACTCAATACTGGTTCGTTGTAATCTGACAGCTGAAAACATAGGCTGCCCAATGGCTGACTTCTAGGAAGTAAAGGAAGAAATCTGAAGCCTCGTTTCCTGAATAATGCATCCAAAGACAGTGAACTGGCACCATTTACTGCAAACATTCAAGTCCTCTGTGCAATTTTCATTCCGTTACTTTTTTTTCCCCCTCTCCACTTTCAAAACCCCCAAAATTCTTTTTATAAACTTATACAAAATCTAATGTATTTTGCATTTCTCTGATACAGAACCTACCTGGCACTGGGGAAGAGCTTAACATTTTTGAGAAATCTGGGAGGACATTTGGGAAGGGAATGCTGATTGTGCTTCCACTGTGAGGGCTAGAGAAGTCACTTGAAGAAGGTGACATAGAGGAAAAGGAACATTCTCCTTCAGAGGACCTCTTCTTCTCTGGAAGAGGCGGTTGAGCATGTACATTCCCTCCATAGTGATGCAGAACTGCACTGCTGTTCTGGCTGTTGTGTCCAGAGACCACTGTAATGTTTTGTGTCAAAAAGTCACTGTCATCAGCACTTGCCACTGATGAGCTCAGCGTTTTAAACATGCTAGCACTGGCCATGCAAGTAACTTGTGTCTCCTCTTGGGGGGAGCTACTGTCCCTGGTACCAGCACTGTAGCTCAGGTAGGCATGGGCACTGCTGCTGCTATCATGTTCTTGGTGTGGCTTTGCTGGGGAACTCTCCAGGTTGCTCAGGGTGACAACTTGCATTCCTGGTGTTTGGAAATGAGACAGGAGAGAGACATCCTGTGCAGCACTTGATAATTCAGAGGGCACAAGGTAACCTCCTGGCTGCCTGGTGTTTCCCATTGAAAACTGGGTTGACAGGGAAGCTTTAGAGCTGTTTTCAAGCCAAGGATATTCTGCTGCAGAAGAGCTGTCAAAAAAAAAAAAAGAGCCAAAAACTGAACATGAAAACAAAACACCAGCCACATCATTCCCTTAAAATGTTAACTGTACAACCTGTACTTCAGTGGTCATTGAAAGAAATTAAACATCACACTCAGGACAAAAAAATCTCATGGTGCTCTTTGAAAACATGCTGGAACAGGTAATACAGCTAGATCAAGGGATTCCAACCTTACCCTCACCAGTAATTTTTTCAATGTACATCATTATGCTCTGTCTTATCTCACCCTCCACCTAGCAATGTTGATGGGATAGTTTCTGAGTTTGCACTGTAAACCAGTCCATGAAATTAATGACAGCTAAAAACACTTCTCCTTGTTTGAGGGGGTTAATTTTAATATGAATCAGTTTAGTGAAGCTGTTTGCAGCATTGCTTCACATACAGCTGTCCTGATGAGCTAAAGTACTGCCTGAAAAATAACAATAGGAGGCAACAATTTCTCATGCCAAAGCTGCACAGAGGTAGAGGTTTATGGAAGAAACATGACACGGCCATACCAGCTCTTACATGCAGAGTAAGAATAAATGCTCACCAGAATAAAAATGAAAATAAATGGGGCGAGGAGGTGGTTGTGCACCACCACACACAACATATCAGTAACTGTGATAATGGTAAGAACACAGTTCACAAGGAATAACTGGTAGACCAGATCTATTTCAATACAATTTATATTAAAAAAAAAAAAAAGGAGGCAGGTCCAGTGGTTAATTTATTTCACAGTGGAAAAATTTTGATTTATAGAATTAAATATTTCAACAGTAAACATTTTGTTTTGCTACTGGGTAGCAATTCTACCTGCTCAAGTAAAAAATGAAAAAAAAAATCCTTCCAAACAAAACTAACTAAGCATCTGATAAAAGCATTTGATAAGTTTAAGCTGTCTCCTTGCTTCTGAAAATGAAATGCCCTTAGGCTGTAGCTGGAAAATATTACTAATATTACCAAATCCAGAGAGAACAAACTCATTGTGAAATGTAAAGAGAAAAAGCTGACGTAAGATATATATCAAAAAAGAAAGGATTTTTAATTAAAAGGGAGTTATGGAAATGAATGCCAGTAGATTTAAACAGCTCAAATTACAAAGGCCATTAAAGAAATGGAAGGTAAGCAAATTGAAGAAAAACATTGCTGCAAGAAAAAAACTTCTCCTCTAGAGCTGTAGCTATCTTCTAGGTGAAATAAAAAAATTATAGAAAAATATTTAGAAAGAAGTGAACAAAATTTCCTAGATAAAGTCTGAAGTATGAATGTAAACTTGATAATGGCTGAATTGCCTGGTAAGCTTTTAATACATATCCACTTGTAATTGTTACACTGCCTCCTCTGCAGCAAATACCAACATATTTTGTTCCATCTTAAGGTTCACATTTGTAATCACAAAGCTAAAACATTCTTTCACAGTCCCAGTACTGACTGAAAATGAAACCAATTAGATTAGAAGATAAATAAAAGATAAATAGGTAATGACATACTTGAAGTACTGACACACTGACACTCCAACCAGAAGTACCACCAAATACTTACTGTGAAAAAGGAGCCAAATAGCCAAAAATAAGGATAATTAGCCAGAAAGGAATGGTTTTGCAGAGTGATAGAGAAGGTAACGTTTTCAGGTCTAATGTGCCACTTTGTCCATTGAGTAAATATAGCGCACATCTAATGACTGATCATGCATTGTTATGGTCTTCTGAACATTCTAACAGTAACTAAGGACTCCTTGTTTGTTTGCTGTTTCTTGCCATTTCTTAGCTTATGCTGTAAACCCTTTGGACAAGAACTGCTTTGTAAATTTACACTGTTGACACTATTGTCCAGAGCCCTACATATTTACCACAATCTAATTGTAAAATAATTAAATGTCTAAGCCTCCTGATCAGTTGAAAGGTAATCAGCTATACACTACCAAAGCAAATCTACTGACATTTTACTGACTAAAAACATATGTCAGCAGTGAGAAGAGGGCTTCCTTTCTCTCATATACAGCTTATTCCAGTGTGAATTTTCATGACATGGCTTTAAGTTAAACATCAGAGACACCAGTTAAGAACACAGAAAAATATATATGAGCTTATATATGAGCTAGCACAAATATATATATAATTATATATATATATATAAAATATATATATTATATATGAGCTATATATATGTCCTAGCACAAAATCATAACTGAGCTATAAAATTCTATTTATTTTTGTCTTCTCACTTATCTTCAAATTTAATTGTGTCTTTCACATAAAAGTAGCACCTCTGTATGTGTTAAAATCCATTCAATGGACACCAACATTAAATGTCACAACCCACCTCAAAGTTCTTAGAAAATGGTCTGCAGTGAAGATGCAAGCATAATGTCTTGTCTGGGAAATATCATTATGAGAACTAAACAATAATGTAGGAGAATCTTTTCCTACCTTTCTGCCCCAGGGATAGGACTGCTATTTGCAACAGTACATGAAGATGCAAAACAGCGCTGAAAAGAGGGATCAGTCTGCATGTTGACCCTCAGCAAAGAAGAGTTAGTGCCCACGGTTCCATCAGACATCACCACAGAGAGGTTAATAGTTTCCATGTAACTTTGAGATTCTGCAGCAAAGAAAACAAAGTAAATGCAAATTTAAAAACAACATGCATTTTTATGGACCTTGTAGTGAAAAAAGTGTTCCTAAAATAGTTTGGTTTTCTCTTAATAAGATTATAAAAAATATTTTTTGTTTGTTTATGCAGTAATATTATTTCACAAAATTATGTTGATTGGTGAAAACATCCAGCAGGTCAAATAGCAGAGGGAATAGAGATTACAGAATTGCTACACTCAAACTGTTTGATCACTTCTCCAGAATACATTCTCTAGCCCTAAAGATGAGAATGGACTGTTTGTTCCAAGATGCTTTGCATTTCACAGTCCACAGTGCTAATCAGGTAAGTCTAGACAAGTGCACCATTTGCACTTGAAATACCAGTAGAAAACTGGGTGTCCTGGTCCCAGCCACTACAGAGTAAATTTTGGCAGTAGGCCAGGACCTGGAGTTACTGTATACCACCACACATCATTGCTGAGGGTGGCGGGAAGGGAGTCTCTTCCAGGGAGAAAGGGTTCCTTCTGATTACGAACGCATGGCGGAGGGAACAGGTGGTGGTGGTTGCAAGCTGGAGGGTCTCAGGGTGGAGCCCTCTTCTGAATGGGGCAGGGGACCTGGTGCATAAGGACACAGATATCATTGAGGTACAGCCTTCCTCATATCAATCTTTATCAGTGAGACAGGCCTTTGGGAACCTCAAGCCCGTGAGACCACAGGAAAAATCTGGATCAAAACAAACCCTCAGTGGAAGAGGACTAAGCAAAGGAGAACTAAAACAAACTGGACATAGTTGAGTCCATTGGGGACTGAGAGGATGAACACACGAGAGCTGAGGGAGCTGGTTGATACCCTGCAAGACCATTCTCAATAATCCTTAAAAGGTCTCAATGACTCAGAGAGATTCTTAAGAACAAGAAGGGAGCAATTATCACTCATTCCTCCAACAAAGGTATGGAGGATGATCCAGGGAATTGCAGGCTTGGTTAATCTAACCCCTGGTCTCTGGAAAGGTGATGAAGCAACTAACCCTGGAAACCACTTCAAAACACGTGGCAGAAAAAGGATTGAGAGTTGTCAGCATGAAGTTACAAAGGGGGAATCATGCATATCCACTGAGAAAACTTTCTTCAGTAAACTGACTAACTTAGTGGCCAAGGGAAAAGCAGTGGACGTTCCTTATCTTTACTTTAGTAAGGTTTTTATGTTGGTCTTCCATAATATCCTCATAAACACACTGATAAAACAAGGGTTAGATAGATAAGTGGAAGTGAGATCTAATAAAAACTGCCTGAATATCTGGGCCCAGAGGCTTGTGATCTGCTGCAGCAAGTCCACTAGAAGGCAAGACATAGCATTATACCCCGGGGCTGATACTAGGACCAATAGTCCTCAACATCCTTCATTAACAACACTGATAATAAGATAAAGTTTCATCAGCAAGTTTTACAAACAGAAAACTGTGAGGAGTCATTGACAAACCAGATGGTTGTGCTACTATTTAGACATGGGAGAAATGGGAAAAAAAGGAATCTTAAATTCAACAAGAAGAAATACAAACTCCTGCAACTGAAAAGGAATAATCCATGGCAATAGCACATGTTGAAGGCTGACTGGCTGGAGATGGTTCTGTGGAGAAGGACTTGGTGGTTCTCATGGACAATGAGCTGACCATGAACCAGCAATACAACTCCATGGCAAAGGTTGGCAATAACATCGTGGCTTGCATCTCAAAGTCCTGCCAGCAGGTCAAGGGAGGTGATCCTTCCTCCCTGCTCACCATCAGAGGCCACACATGAAGCTCTGTGCCTATATATGGGCTCCTCAGTACACGAGAGACAGGAACTTGCTTGAAAAGGTTCAGCACAAGGTCACAAAGACACCATCACTGGGACTGAAGCATCTTTTATAGGAACAGAGACTGAGTCCCAGACAGCTGGGACTGTACGGCCTGGAGAAAAGAAAGCTCATGCATATATTATCACTGTCTGTATAAGGCATGAAGGTGCATCTTTGCATTACTGTCTGATGTGAAGGCATGAAGGTGCCTTCTGCTCACAGGATGAGAAAAGGACACAATTGGGGTTTAAAGTTTAACAGCACAGAGCAGCACATGGTTTGTCCAGGGTAGAGTTAACTTTCTTCACAGAGGCTGGTATGTGACTGTTTTGGATATGTGTTTTACACTGCAATGATAATACAGAGATATTTGTGTTATTGCTGAGTAGAGCTTACACAGAGCCAAGGCCTTTTCTGCTTTTCGTACTGCCACACTGGCAAGGCAGTTGGAGGTGCATGGGAGGTTGGGAGGAGACAGTGAGAACAGGTGACCCCTACTGACCAGAAGGGTATTCCAGTTCACATGACATCATGGTCAGTATACAAAATGGGAAGAGGAAGGAGGAAGGGGAGGACATTTGGAGTGATGGTGTTTGTCTTCCTAAGTGACCATTACATGTGATGGGCTCTGCTCTCCTGGGGATAGCTAAACATCTGCTGCCCATGGGAAGAAGTAAAGTAATTCCTTGTTTTGCATTGCTTCTGTGTATGGGGCTTTTGCTTTCCCTCTTAAACTATCTTCACCTCAACCCATGAGTTTTCTATCTTTTACCCTTCCAATTCTCTCCCCAGTCCTACAGGCTGGAGAGTGCCCAGCAACTGCATTGGGCTTGGCAGCTGGCTGGGCTTTAAACCATGACACCTGTGCAGCTACAGTTTTCAGGTGTGACTTTGTCCATGTTATGAATAGAAAGTTGTAATTTTTTTAAGTTTCAGAGTTAAAAAAAACCAAGTCAGACCGAGTCAGACTCCTTTGGTTTCGCTGCCGAAGAAAAGCCCTTAATCACCCGTTAATGGCGGGTGATTAACTGATTGTTTCCCTGATGCTGGCCACTTGCCAGGACAGACCCCTCTGAGGTAAAGAAAATAGGAGTGACATCGGAGCCAGTATGCAAATAAGAAATGCAGTGTACCTTGGGTTTTTACAGTTTTTACAAGAAAAACCCCTAAAATCACGAGCCAACAAGTGACTTAAGTGACGTCTAAGAATGGGAGCATAGTCCCGTACCTGCTTAGACCTTTTTATTTTCTCACCCTAACCTGAAAAGAAACTGATTAAAGAGACCCCCCCGGGTTTTTAAACAAACAAACCAAGGACTCCACGACTCTCCCGTGAGGACAGAGTCCCCAGTTCTGTCTGCAGACCAGCGGACAAAACTGCATCATCCTCCTCCTTCGTGCCACGCCTGGGAGCAATGGCGGCGAGGGCGCAACCCGTCGATTTCTCCCCACCTGAGCTGATTCTTCTTAATAAAGGCATTAAAAAGGAGAAATATCTCCTGCCCATTTATTTCAGTCCACATCACACAGACAAAGAAGCAAAACAACTGTAACTTTTATTTCCTAACAATCTGCAAACAGCACCAGAGTAACTGGTTTCTAAACTGACTGAAATAGGAAATATGTTCAACTTAATTATACTGCACATAAATATTATATGATATAGTTAAAACAGATGCATTTAGGTGAGGAATAATGTGGATGCTGTTACTGCAGAGCTTTATACAGGAACAGTTTCACCCTGTTTTTCAGAGATACACTTAAATAACCAGTCAAGATCTAATGGAGATTATATTTAATTATTCTATATTAGTATTAAGAAGTCAACACCTATTCACATAGGTCCAGGCTCAATCACACTGTTTTCCATGACAGAAGACTATAAAACTACAAATGCCCACACATCTGAAGAGCTTCATTCACCTGAATAGTCCTACTGACCTCAACACTGGCAGGACTGAAACCCAGTAAGACAATCACAGATGAAGCAATCTCTAATTGCTGTCTCTTGAGTCGATACACTTCCAAAGAATCAGGGAGGGAGAAGAAAAGAAACCAAAAACCAAGGAAGTCAGAGAATAATTCCACTCCTACAAAGAGTTAAGATCACACTAATGCATTTTTTCCATAAGCAAATCTTCCTAAGGTAAAAAGCCACTGAAAACAAGTCAAAATGAATATTGTTTTCCCTTCAATTCATGGCAGAGCTTGGTTCTGCTATGACTTGAATGAGGAATGTGCAAGGTACTTAAAAGATATGTCTGAGACAAGAAAATACGCAAGTTAGTGCCCTGACTATAAACCATCTGAATTCAGCACACATTGAGCAGAGCAATCATAACTGGATGAGGGAAACAGAAAACTGCCTTTTAACAGAAACTGTCTTTTAACTACACCATTACTTTAACAATATTCATAACAACCACAGAAGTGAACTTTAAGGAAATACTGCAGAAATGCTTCATGTGGAAGAGCTACAGAAATCTGAATCTGTATTTACCAGATCAGCTACATTACAGTCATCCTCATACTGGTGCAAATAAGAGTCAGAAAAGCTGGCTGCACAAACCCATATTGGTCAACTTGATGTACACAGGGAGACTACTAGAGCCTCCCCAGAAACACAACTTCGACAAATTTCCAAAGACCAGTATTTCACAAAGTATCTCAAGTAAAACAAGCATCTCATCTCTGCACATGAACTTGCCCAGATGCTTCCCAATTACACTGCAGGTTGAGACGATTCTGCTCTGAATGCATTCCCAACAGGAACGGGAATTACAATTCCAAGTTTATCTCCACATGCTTGCTTGTTTTCAGGTTTCTGTGTCTCTCCTGATACCAGACTATATAGGGGAGTCACTGGAATCCAGTTACCAAGAGTCTGGGGGCAAAGAGGGGAGTGGCACTCCTTCTGAAATAGCTTAAAATCTCCCACTCTAATACGACCTCAACTACCTGCATAAGAGTTAGTCCAACAGATTTAGAGAGCAAATTCCACTCCTTCCACAGCACTTGCTTGAATAGAGGGACCAAGTCTTGATTCTTCCCTATTTCAGGCCTTGGATTGTTGCAATTATCTTCAGAGTTTGAGGGAAGGACCACTGTCGTGCTCACAGATGCATTTCACACCCCATTTTCACAGGTGTAAAATACTAAACGTAGAGT